ACCTCTGAATAAAGCTTTACCAACTCCTCACTCTGGAGTTCTTTCTGGGACCAAATAGCCCACTAGACTGATCAGTCCTTTCTCTCTCTATGTCCAGCAAGACTCTCAGAGACCACCCAGTCTGGAGAGATCTTCAGAAGTCCAGAAAGGGTAGCCTCTGAGCACATCCCACATTGCAGCCACTGTCCCTGCATACTCGCTCTGAAATGCTACTGCCAGTCTAGAGACTTCAGGTTAAGGCAGGAAAGGGGTGAAGAGGCCTAAATTCCTTCTTTAGACACAAAACTAGTAAAGGAGACCTGGTGCCCTTCTCTACCCCCAGATGTCCTTCTTGAAGCCAAAGATTACGAAAGGAACTAATTTTCACCACTATCTCCTTCTCCCATTTTGCTACCTCTAGAGGCACCCAGAAAAGAGAGAATTAAAGGTTGTAGGGCCTCCTCCTATATTTCACAGTGATTTACACACTATTACCCACCCGAAACAAACTATGCCAAAACAGAGAGGAGCCACTGCATCTTCAGTCCTTTTCTCTGTCCGTCTTTATTTGATATGACAAAATATAGTTTCAGGAAGGACTCGGAGTTAATAAATAGTTGAGCAACAGCGATGAGGCAGCGGGCACAGAAAGTCGTGGCAGGGACTACGGAACAGCCCAAAGTCTCTGGGATGGCTTACTGAAGTCCATTGACCAGTGGCCCCCAATAGTGGAGCTAGAGGGCTATGGCCTGAGTGGGCATGCAGCAGGCGCGCGGACTGGAGAAGTTCCCGGGCTCTCCAGGGGGATAGGTTTAGAGAGCATAGGGCAACAGAGAGGGCCCTAAGCTGACATTCAGACATCACCCCCTTTCATATGCAAATTATTAAAAATGAAGATCGAGTTTAGACGCGACAACAACGAAGCACCCCGAGTCTGGCGCCAAGTTTAGGCACAACCACTCACTCTGTTGCCAGTCTGCGGCTGTCTGGGCCAGTAGAGCTAGGAACAAAGGAGAGGGCGAGGCCAGAGGGTCCGGGCAAAGGGCCTTTTGCGCAGAGCCCACCTTGACTCCTGGCCACGCTGGGGCTGGGAGCCTAAGAGGTGGCCCAGGCTGGGCTTGGTTTCAGAGCCAGCCCTCACACGGTAGACCTCTGCAGCCGACGCAGAGCTCTCCCTGAGACCCGGGTGCTGAGCAGAGCTGTGGGGGAAGACGGCTCAGCCCAGGTAGCCCCGCGGGAAGTTGGGGTCAATGGGGATACGGAATGCCAGGGGGGGATAGCGTTTTGTCTGCGAGGCTGGGAAGCCAGTATGCCAGCCCCTACCTAACCCCAAAATGCAGAGAGAGAGAGAAACAGAAAAGGAAAGGGCGCGGGGAGTGGAGCAGGCGCTCTCTGTGGACCTTCCCAAGGCCTCTAAAGAGCTTCTTTGCTTTTCATTTTGGAATCTTTCTTCCACTTCATCCTGCGGTTCTGGAACCAGATCTTGATCTGTCTCTCGTTGAGACACAAGTTGTTGGCGATCTCTATGCGCCTGCGGCGAGTGAGGTAGCGGTTAAAGTGGAATTCTTTCTCGAGTTCCAGAGTCTGGTAGCGCGTGTAACTGGTTCGGGACCGCTTGCCGTCTGTCTCTGGAACATAAGCCCCCCAAGCCAGGAAGGGGTGAATAGCGTGCAGCGTCCCTGAGCCCCAAACCCAGCTCCAGGCCCCCCACCCGCGCAGCTTGAAGGAGAAGAGGCGAGCGAGGCAAGCCAGGCCCGGCGGGCCGCAGGCGGGCCCGGCCCAGCCCAGCCTCGGGAGAGGCGCCTCCGCCCTGGCAGCAAACTTTCCGCCACAGCCTTCACTCAGCAGCCGGAAGGGCTGAGGGCTGGGGGGAGAGGGAGACCCAGGCTCGGACCGAACAATAAACACCCTCGAGATCCGGCACCGGGGACCCCCCTCCCGCCCCTCCCGAGTCGCAGGAATCCTCCGGTGCGGTGGTGCCGGGCGAACCGGCTCCGCAGGGGAGGGAGGGAGCTACGGGGGGATCCCCGCTCTGGAGCCCCGCGTTCCTCACCCTTCAGATCCCTCTATTTTTTTAACTCCCTCCCTCTCCCCCCAAAATTGAATATTGCCTTTTATACACGTTTTGTTCCTATGATCCAATTATGTCGTCGTAAATTTGGGCGCACACAGCCTCTAAGCCTTTTAGTGGACAGTTTTACGAGCCATTGATGCCTGGATCGTAAAATTTATGGCCGCAGGTTTTTTTTCTTTATTTGCCCCGCTTGGCCTATAAAACCCAGGCGGACCCGAGCGCGCAAAATGAAGTCCTAAAGTTTACCGTGGCTCATGTGCAGTTTGGTCATCCACGGGTAAATCTGTGGCGGGGCCGGTGGCTGGCTCAGTCCGGCGGGCTGCCCTGTCTGCGCCTGCTCCTCTTTGATCTCCCCACTGCTCTTAGCTCGCTCGTCCAGCGCTGGGCGAGCCGCCTTCTGACTGTACATCCCGGGGTTCAGAGGAGCCGCTTCGTCTCTGCTCAGAGCGTGTCCCGGAGCGGCCGCGGCGCTGCAGGCGGGGCGGTCGGGGTGAGCCCGGGGGTTGGCAGCCATGTCTACCCCGTGGAGAGAGTTGGAAGGCGCAGGCGGTGGGAAAGTGATGCTTAAGTCCAATCCGCCGTAGCAGTACCTGGATGCCTGCACCTCTGAGGCCGATCCATAGTTCCCACAAGTTTGCATGTTATAGGCAGGGATATTGGGGCTCTGCTTATAGAATGAATTGGCTACGTAGGAGCTCATGGCGGGGAGGGCCCAAAAAAAATTTCTGCACCCTTTTTGATTAAGGGTGATTTGTGACTCTTTGAAGTTGAGGGGGTTTTTGTTCTCCAAAGTGCACAATTTATAGGTGGAGATATCTCTTTCTTTATCCTATGCGCTCTTCCCAAATAAGGGAGCCTTAAATAGAGTCACGTGACTCGAGCGGCCACTCATAAATTTGGCTTGATGACCTCCGGGAGGTTAGTGATGGAAGCCGGCGAAACGCATCTTGATATGTTGGCAAAGCCCAACCAAGGGGGAGAGGGAATGAGAGAAAGAGGGAAGGGGGGGAGAAAAAAAAATTGGTTCTTGGAATTGGGGGGTAGCTGGGACAACGAGCCCACAGCGACACCTGGTGCCTACATGGAGGAATTACAGCATGGCGCACTGACAGCTGAATTTTCTGCCTTGTAGACTGGCTGTTTGTTGCTGCAACAAACCTTGAGCAGATCTTCTTAGATCGCATTTCATTTTAAGGAAAATTAAAGTCTCATTTAAGAATGTGCAAAGGGAGTTTTTAAAATGGATATTCCTGTCCCACTTCCACTCCCAGCGTGGGCCAGTCTTCAAAAATGGGTGAAGGAAGAGGATTTGGGCCTAGTACACCCTGCTTAGGCTAAAGAACTGAAGGATGTTTATCTCAGATTCCCCAAATCAAGAGCCAAGGTGCCTGGCTATATTTGAAGCCCAAAGACTTGGCTAAAGCTGAGAAAGGTGATGACTGTCAACCTAGGAAAGTAAGCCTAGCTCTGGAGAGGGTTCAGCTCCTGGGATGCCCCAGGAGGAAAAGTCCTGGATGGGCAGAAATAAGTAATAGGGGGCAAGGGGGTCAAAAAGCTAAAAGTATTAGGAACTATGGGGGGGAGGGGCTGGAAGTGAGGTGAAAAATCTGGTGGAATCAAGTAGCTGTCACCACCAGGGACCCCTGAGTGCAACAGGGCTGTTTTCTGTGTGTGTACATATAAAGAGCCAGACACAATGGACTGGAAGACAACAGCTCTGCATCTCTGTGTATCAATCACCCTCACATGATGCCTGTACCAGATATTTTGGAAATAGATATGTAAGGACATTAATTCAAGCTTTCACAAACATCACATGAACAGGACAGAGCAAAAGGCCTATTTTGTGCCCATCAAGGGAAAAGACCTCTGAATCAGGCTTTCCAGTCACGTGGCTAACAGAAGAATCCTTTCTGAGCTAGTTTAGGGGCCTAATGAAGACTCACCTAGGGGCGGGCAGGATGGACCCTAGGCATCCATCTAGGTCAGTGGCCAGGTTCTCCAAGGCCCTTGTGCCACTTTCCCTACTACCCTACCCCAATTTCTTTTCTTTCCTGCCTGCCCTTCCCCAGGAAATCTCCGCCCCTGAGAAGTCCCCCTCCCCCTCCCGCCCTGCTGGCGGGGGCACTGGCGGGGAATCTCGAAGGTCCCGAGAAGTCTGGCGGGTATTTCCCCTCCAAGAGACCCTCATTACTACCTCTCTCCCTAGGCCCACTCAGTTTTCTGTGACTGAGCTTGAGGAAAGCAGGCCATAGCTGAGAAAGCTTTAGGGGCAGACTGGTTGAGGGGAGACGAAAGAGAGAGGAAGCGGTGGGGCTGGGGCGGTGAGGAAGGCCGAATTTTGTTCTGGCTACTTCAGGAGTCCTAAAGCAGACGAGGACTCTGTTTCCAGGCTTGCTCACTTGAAATGTCCTTGAATAGCTCGATCCCTGCCGAAAAGCTCGAATCGCCTGGTCTTCTCTTTCCCCTCTGCTCTCCGCCTCCGCCTCTGCCACGTTTCGCAACAGCCAGCCAGTTCACTACCCACCCCCCCAGCTCAGGGCGTGAGCGGGGGCGACCCTGATGCCTTGATCGTCTTCTTTTCTGGCCTTTGAGGCTCGGGGTTCAGAAACCTAAACTCCCGGGCTGCCACAGACAGGAAGAAAGGCCTGTGTGGGCTGGAGCCCAAATCAACTAATCCCTAATCCCCGCTTCCCTCTCCCGCCCCCAGTCAAATCCTGGGCGGCCGTTTTTTGCGGGGTGAGCGTGTTGCCCCGCTCTTGGAGCCCTAGGAGGTCTCCCAGCCCCCCAACGCGATCACAAGGAGAATGAGGCCGCCAGGCTCCCAGAGAAGTATAGTGTGGGGGGCTGGGAGCCTGCAGGCGGCGAGCAGACGCGGGCGCGCTCGATTCAGCTCCAAATTTCGCCCTCAGGCCGGCGGGCGAGCGAATTAACAGAAATCCCAGTATAAATCTTTAAAAATAATATCAGTTTTATTAAATATTCAAGAACGGATCCAGAGGTCGGATGTATACAGGAGGGTAACACGAGGGGATTGGTTTGTGGTTGTTTTTTTTTTTATTATTTTTTTCTTCTACTGGCTAAACAAACGTCATCATTTTTTTCTCCTCTCGTTTTGTAGTTTTTCCCTCTTTTCATTTTAAGATGGGATTGGAACACTGACGGTGCTAAACATAAATATAAATACAGAGACCACAAATACAGCTAAAAATATTCACACAGAAACGGTCACAGTTTGTAATATGCCATAATGACCCCCAGGATTCTTTAAATACAATTCGCCTGGGCTGGGCATTTTGCTGGGGCAGAGGGGCCGGGCAGGGACTGTGGGGAGGCCCTGGGGGTTGCAGTGGGGCCCAGGCACGCCCTCCTAGGGCCTCCCGCCCTCCAGAGCTGCCAGACCGGGCCCTGAGGCCACGGAAGAGAGGCCCCGGGGTCCCAGAGCTGGCTTTCTGCGCGGGGGGCGGGGGCTGGGGGGCGCCCAGAGGGCGGGGAGCCAAGCCCTCATTTAGAGGGACTATCAGTGGAGTCTGAAGCGAGGTTCAGGAACTGAGTCCCCAAGGCCTGGGCGGGGGAAGGGGCCTGCAGACAAGCCAAGAACAAGCGAGCAAGGGATCAAGGAAGAGGCGTATGGCGAAAGGGAGTTTGTGCGGTGAGGGAGGGGGTCCATAGCTGACTTTCAGGTCCACGTTTAACTCCCTAATTTTGTTTGAAGGAGTCAAAACACATCAATTGTGCCAGTGATGAATACAGAGTGTGTGATAAGGAGAGAGTTGGGGGGAGCGAGGAAGAAAGACAGAGAGGGATGGCAGGGGACAGTCCTGGTCACTCTTTCTGCTTCTCTTCTTCTGTCTCTTCCCGCTTTTCCTCCTTTCCACCCAGGCTATCGGCCGCGGCCCCTCCGCCGCCCCCTGAGAGCGTGGACGTGAGATTCGATTCCTTTTTCCACTTCATCCGGCGGTTCTGGAACCAGATTTTGATCTGTCGCTCGGTCAGGCAGAGAGCGTTAGCGATCTCGATGCGCCGGCGCCGCGTTAGGTAGCGGTTGAAGTGGAATTCCTTCTCCAGTTCCAGGGTCTGGTACCGCGAATAGATCTGGCGGCCGCGCCTCCGGTCCGCTCCGTAGCCGACCCCTAGAGATCCGGGCACAAAACACACTAAAAACAATCAGCAAGGCATCCTTTGCAGACGATCTTACCTAACAAGGTCCTGACCCTCCTAACTGGGCCGGCAGCTTCAGGCACCTTCGGGCTCAGAGTCTTCTCCCCCTTTGCTCTGCCCCACCCCCACTGGGGGGGTACAGCTAGACCCCTAACTTCATTCAGTTCCCTATAGGTTGGGAGGCATGTGTGCCAAAGAAAGTGTGTGCATGGAGTGGGGGGTGGGGTGGGGAAGAGAGAGGCCAGGAATCTGGCAGAAAAGCTGCAAATCTAAAAACTGAATTTTGAAAAATACCTAATTCTGGGGGAAGAGGGCCCTCTTTCTCAAGATCTGGCTTCCCCACCTCCCTAGCTCCTTGGAAACTTCTACTTTCCTATCCTCTTCCCCTCACGTCTCCTCAGCCTTGCTCCACTTTTGGGGGCTCCCCCATCTCTGCCCTACTGCCCTGTTCATGCACCCTCAGCTCGCCTTTAAGTCCTCCAATCTGGCAGAGACCGAGGGGGCCAGGCCCCTGCGAGCAAGCAGGGAGGCAAGTAGAGGGGGCAGAAGAGGGGGCCCTGTCTCGGCGTCAGCGAGGAGACGAGCGTGATTGTTTTTATGGGGCCATAAAAAACTCTCTCCGCCCGTTCTTCTAGGGAAGCCGGTCATAAAGCCAGTTCAGTTTATTTAATTTATATCTCGGAGCTGTAAAACTCACCACTGTGCGAATTCATTCGCTGCATCCAGGGGTAAATCTGGATACTGGCTTTCTGGTCCTGGGGCGCAGTCCTGCCCTGCTCAGAACTAAAATCCTGAGCGATTGAGGTCTGTGTATTATGTCCTAAGTTGTTTTGTCTGCAGTTTGAGAGCATGTCTTTCTCCTGGTAAAAGGAATTAGATCCATAGTCATACGGGGCCCGGCTGGAACTGAACACGACATTCTCCTGTGGCGAATAAAAGGGAGTCGAGTAGATCCGGTTCTGGGCAACAGCCGCTCCATAGGTCGAGAAGTGCCTCACTGGATCATAGGCGGTAGAATTGAGGGCGACGTTGGGGAGGACGTCCTGGCCCCCGGCGAGGTGGCAGGATAAGGAAGGGTTAGTGAAGTAGGAATTCATCCCTTTGCCTTTACCTGGTCGGGCTATGATTTCTTTAATATTTATTTCTGTCTCCAGTTTGTACTCGGAACTAGATGGTTATAGGGACGGCTCCAATCCAGGACAGACAAAATGACAAAGTCAGCTGACCCTCTTCCAGCCAATCGTGAGCCAGATGTCAAGAAGGGGGAAAAAAATCGCTTCAGCTTCTGTTGATTCCCTAGTTGAGACTAAGTGTGTGCTTTGAAAGTAAGACTTGGATTTCTTTAAGTGTATACGTTTATATATGTGTAAGAGAACTGATTTTGGGGTGATGAAGGAATGACTGTCCGAGTGCAAGGCCTTGGGGCCCAGAGAAGGAGTGCTGCACTCCCAGGAAAACCCTCAGTCACAGCGAACTTTGCAGCGTTGTAGAGAAGGCCAAAGACATCTCTTTTTTTCGATCTGATTTTATCCTTTATATCTGCCCTCTTCTAAAATTACATCCTAATTTCCTCATGGGAGGAGTTCCCTCCCAGCTTGGAGGATCCCCAGAAATTGTACAGGAAACCTCGTTTGACATTCATGGAGTCCCCATCACTAAATCTGCATCTTTTTCAAATAATAAAATAATCCAGAGTAGAAATAAATTTAATAAAACCTGGTGCCCATAAGTAAGGGAATGTAGCTAAGAACCTTGGGTGCCTAGGGGGTATGTAAGGCACAACTTACTAAAGAGGTGAAGACCAGACTTTAGAGGTACAGTGGCAGAGCTGTGGGCAGAGGGGTCAGATATCAGCTTGCGTCTGCCTCCTAGCCCCTCTCCACCTCTTCCTTAGGACCCCTTATGGGAGAAACTCTTGGAGCAATTTCGCCAAAAAGGTGGCCTGGACAAAGGACAATAGAAAAGGGAGAGAAAAAAACAAAAAGAAAGGTGCAAGAGACAGAAAGGAAGGAAGGCTTTCTAGAGACATCAACTCCTGTTTATGTTGGTGAGAATTTATGATTTGGAGCCAGCTAGGGCTACTGGGGTAATTCACATAGGATCAGGCCAGAAAGAGCAGAGGGTGGGGGGCTGTTCTGATGAACAGATAGTGTCTGGCAAGCTCAAGCCCCTGCTGAAGTTGGAGGTCCCCTGACCTCCCCGGACTCACTGCCCTCCCAGGGGAGGCACCACAGACCTGAGCTCTAGTGCTTGGAAACAACGCAAAAGGCTCCAGAGGAGCTCTCGCCCAAGTGCCAACCATTCTTAGACCTTGCCTTTTGGCAGCCTCTACCCCTCCTTTTCTTTCCACCTGAGGAAAAAGAAGGCAGGTTAGCAAAAGGCAGCTGAGTCCAAGGCTTCTGAGGGAGCTGCAGTAGGCGAACTGAAACATCGGGAGGTGTGCAGATGGGGCTTTCTCTTAATTAATCCAAACTTAATTTGATATTTGGACATAGGCTGGACATGTTTTGAGTTGACAAAGAAGAGGTGATGGGGCATGCACAGGGAGCAGTGAAAGCTCATATTTTCCCTTCACCATTTTTTGGGTGGGGGAGACTGGCTATAGCAAGAACCCGGATGTCGCTGAATTTTATGATCTTTTCCTTCTGTGTAACAAAGCGGAGTAATCAATGGGTAGCAATAAAGCCATAAACGGGACTATGCTGGGAAAAAAAAACTCAACCTCGTTTATTCATCTTCTGTAACATTAAGGTTTCCCTGGAGTGTCGCTATGGGGGAAAAAATAAAGTTCGGAACCCAAAAGCAGACAGTGTGCAGGAGCTGACGGAGACAACATGTTAGTTAATACATGAACCTTCTTATGAGGTTGACGAGTTTTCTGTCAGGCAAATTTATGTTGGCTGTTTCAAATATAGTCCTACTTCTTCAGGAAAGAGGGAAATCTGTGTTTAAATGGGAAGGGAAAGACTCCTTTAATGATAATGATTCTCCCCCTTAAACCATACTCCTTTCTGCCCAAGGGGATGAAGGTGAAAGGGCAGAGAAGAGTTCTTAATGAAGAAATTTTGGGGTGACATGGCAGGTATACATACACCCACTCAGAGACACCAGCATGAGTTGCTGTTCACTCTAGAATCCAGCTGTCCTCAAATTCATGGCATGCCTGGGCAGAGGTTTCCAACAGCTGGCTGGGGCTCCAGGCCCCCTGAAGGGCAAGAGATGGGGAGGAGAAACAACAAGGATGAGAAGATCCTGGGGGCTGAGCTGGGGCACGAGTCAATGCACCCTTAGACACAAGAAGCTCCCAGAGTTCGCAGCCTTTCTGCGGGGAGGATAGCAGTAGAACAAGTAGAAGTGGCTGGGAGAGTAACCTCCCCACCACCCCCATTTCAGAGAAAGATTGCTAGAGGGATAAATCATGTCAATGATATTTCCCTCAAGATATTAAATTGTTGCAATGTACAACAAATTGAATGATGGAAGATAGGATGTCTTAATGAGGTTTCACTTTCAATGAGTGTTGATTTTCTATGTATTTTTAAATCTTTGTTATGGGTAAGGGGAAGAAATTATCAGACCTTGAGAGAAAGGTCTCCTTCTGGGGAGGCCTATGTTGCAGCCCCCAGCAAAGATGTCTAGATTTCCTTGAACCCCACCTCAACCAAGCCTGAAGGGGGCAGGGGCCCCTAAGCTGGGTACAGTCTCTTTTGGGGCCTAAAGGCTGTGGGCAAGAGGGTGGACGACCTGAAAAGCAGAATGTAAGTCTGAGCCGGGAAAGTTAAGTGTTTTATTACGTCCCTAAACAGAGGGCAGAGACTGAAAGGTCTCACCGATTTATAATGAACAGAAACCAGCTGCTGGGTGAAAAAAGCAGAAATGCTGAGAGAAACGGGGAAACAGAAATACAAATAAACCCCCCCCCCATTGCTTGAAGTTGTGCAGCAAAAAATTGCCAACCCATTCTTCCCATCACCTTCCATTCCCAGGGAGAGAAGCCGCTTCCTTTCAGTTAGATCTGTAATTATGCAGCTGAAATTTGCTGAAAGGATTCGCTCCAAGGGGGGAGAACTGGCTGGATGATCTAGCCCTTCCCTTTTGGATTATACTTTCCCATTTCCTGGTTTTTTCTTTTTCTTTTCTTTGTGTGTGTGTGTGTGTGTGTGTGTGTGTGTGTGTGTGTGTGTGTGTTTGTGTGTATGCCTGTCTATACGGAGGAAACTGGGATATTGATTTTTCGAAACATATTTCTATTTTCCTGTTAAATTTGTCTGAAAACAATTATGGAAACTCATCAGCAGAAGCAAGAACAGATGTTTTATTAAAACTGCAGTTGAGCTCGGTAAATATGCACAAGTCCTAGGAAAAGGGGAGAACTTGTTCTTTGTTTCTGTAAAACACAGCTAGGGAAATCGGTGAACACCCCCCCATCAGGCCTCATCAGGTCTCTGCTTTGCCCCCTTCCCAGGGCCTCGGAGTCAGGCATTCCGAAGGAGTTTGGAGGCAAGATTGGATTTTCAGTTTCAGACTTGTTAACTAGTGGATTAGAAAACAGAATTCAGAAAACTTCCCCATAAAAAAGAATAAAAGGGGAGAGTTGCTGCTTGCTGCTCCTGCCCCCACCCACTCAATCCAGCACATATGCTTTCCATGAGTGCTAATTATAGGAATTCAACTTACTACAGGCACCTTGGCTGGAGTGAGAGGCAGTCAGTCACTGGCCTTGAGTTGCAAAAGCATTGGAGGCAGCACACTCTGGGGGTTTTCCCTAAGCAAGTCAAGGGAGTCCATACCAGTCCAGGGAAAGATTCGGGACCTGTAGGGTGCTGAACTGGGAGAGAGGGAGTGGCAGTTAGCCCTGAAGAGGTTCCTGGGCAGGCCTTACCTTGCCTGCCTTTACTTCCCAGTCTGTTCTGAAAAATGTCTTCATTTCTTAGGGAGAGGCATCTGAGGTGAGGGGGAGGAAATGTGGCATTTTTAATTGTAGATAGTTTTTTTCAGAGGTCCTCCCTAGTTTGTGTTCTGACAATCTTGTCTTTCCAGGATGTTTGCAACTATCTACCCTTACACACAAGAACACACACTCTCCACTCCTGGCTGCGGGAGTGCTGCTGACTACAGCTCATCTCCAGAAGTTGCCCAGGGACCCAGACACTGAAGTATTAGTGGGATCCAGCACTTGGCCTGGGCACTTGGACAGCTGAAAGTCACAACAGCAGCCTCACCCACTCCCCCACCTCCAATTCTGGCTTTCCAGATCAGGAAAAAGAGTGGTTGCCAGTCCCTTTTGTGCCACTGAGAGAAACCTGGAATCCCTTTTGCAGAGAAAGCTGAGTTTCAATAACTGGTCAGCTCACCTTACAATCGCACTATTTGATTAAGGCTTTGCTATTCTAGGGTAAATTCCCAGTTGGCCCAACTGGATTATGATTAATTTTAAAATTTTATAAAAGCCAACTCCAAATGCTTCATATTTTGTATAAAAGCTCCTTTGATCTCTGTGGAACTCAAAGTGAAAAGATTATAAGGAGTTCCCAGTCCACTAAAGGATCTAGGAACTGGGCCTGCTTGGGGACCCCAAAACAAGGATCACCCAAGGGCCCCAGTTTTTCACAAATATGGTGGGAGGAAGTAGTCTGAGCAAATTGTACTCCTGTCTCCCATGTACACACATTGCATTCCGAAAAACAGTGTTCTTTCTCCTTTCAAAGTTTAGACACCGAGACACTTGGGGAGGGGGGAGTGAAATCTGATACATCCAACCTGGAAATGTATCAGCACCCCATCTGTGGGTGCTGATATTCTGGGGACAGGGTCCAGAGCTTGCCAGCTGAATAGAGTTAGGAGTCAGCAGGGGGTGGGGGAGGTAGGCCAGATGGGGCATGTCCAGCAGCTGCTAAGAACAGTCCCAACACCTGAGAGGCCTACACTGGTGACTCCTTTTTGAGAGAAGAGGTTCAGTGACAATTTTTGCTGTTTTTGCTTAATTTGCAACTGAACTGAGAAAAAAGGTATATGGAAGGCCTTTGGTAATTTATGTTTTATT